TGCCAGCGTGTGTTGTTGGGATTGTTCATGCCTGTAGCTTTCCTGCAGGGGTGGCAGGAGAAAGGACTCAGGTCCGCAGTGCCTGTCCTGCTTGCATAACCCTGCCAGCCCAGTGCGCATATTCCCCCAGTTGACCCAGACCAGTTCCGTAGCCAGACTGACTGAAGCAAAGCAGAAGCAGCTGCTCCCCTCTGTCGTCTTGACCATTCCTTCTCCAGCTTGACACCTTGTAAACCAAGTTGAGATTGAGTTATACAGATGAATTCAGGTGTCTAGAGAGAGTTGCCCAGGAGCAAAAAAAAAAAAGCAGGCTGCTGTGACTTCATATTTCTTTAGGGAGGACAGGCTGTCCCCTACTCTTTTCTACAAGACAGTGGTTTCTTTATACAAGTGTCATTTTGGCACAACAGTATTAAGGTGACACGCCACCGGTGTGGATTATGGATGTGCTGAGGGGGTGCTTGTCGCGGTGCCTCCACGCCCTATGTGTCTAAGAGCGCCAGAGCTTCAGTGCCTTTCTGTATGTAAGTTCGAAGAGCCTCTCTGTGTGTAGTACAGTGTGTCATGCACTTTCTACACGGGGAGGAGATGTCTACAGGGATGGTTTGCAGCACTAATGTGCACCAGTTACGGTTTACTTTATGACTTTTATGAGCTGTTGGGTTTCTAGCTTCGGCGTAGCACACGTCAGGATTTGTAATCGCTAATTTTACTAGTTTGAGTAATAATACAGGTGAGAAACTGCATTAAATTTACTAGTCATGAAGCTGAGCAGGCTAGGACAAGCACACAGCCTTTGCTTTTTCGTTTCTGCAGTGCTAACTTGTCTACTGTTACCTAAGTTATTGTTCTCCCTTACCTTTCTTTCCTAAATAAAGCAAAAATAATTTCTACGTAAGTGTGTCCTGACCCTTTAGACATCTCCTTCATACGAAGATCCCTGCTTTGTGCACTCCCTCCTCCAGCCGGCCCCTCCAGGCCAGCGCGGTCTCCCGCATGCTGCTGTCTCTGCCTGTGAGAGATGCTGAGGGACAGCTGGGAAAGCAGACATATGCCCAAACTTTTCAGAAGCAAGGTGGGAAGTTCTCAGTCCCCAGGGCAAAAATGAGAGGAGAGGGAGAACGGAGGCTGGGCTTTTGCATGTCTAAATAGGATCAAGATGTAAACCAGGGGCTGGGGAGGTGGCTGAGCAGTCAGTAGCACCCGCTGTTCTAGCAGGGCCAGAGTTCAGCTCAGCACTCACGCATCCATCAGGCCGCTCAGAGCTGCGACTCCAGCTCCTCTTGTTGTCCTGCATGTGGGAGACACATGGCAGACACACAAATGAAGGGGAAAGAAAATCTTTTTAAAATGTAAAGTAGTGTGTTATTCCCAGTAGGACATGAAGTAGCCCTTTCTCGGTCGGTGCTTCAGTGCTGTGTCGGGTGCATAGCTAGATGGGTGGTGTCAGTGGGACTGAGTGCCCAGTCGTGTCCCAAGGTGTTGTAGACACTTGTCACTGCTGACAGATGGGCACCGGCTCTTAGGACCGTCACCTTGCCTATGTGGCTGGGATGCATTGTCACTATTGTCAACGAAACTAACACCTGCGTCTTGGATCATGTTATCTCCAAAGGCGAGAATAAAATGATGAATTCCTTGGCTACCAGATGATCTAAGGTTTGCTTTACTTTCTGCTGGTGGCCAATGAAGCATAAAAATCTGGTGGCATCTTGGACTATCAGTGAGTCTTCCTCTTCTAGCCCCCACCCACCCACACTCCCCTTCCCCGAACCCTGTTTGAGAGTTCACTCAAAGGAAGTAATTGGAATCAAGTTTGGCCTCTTAGCTGAGTCCGGCTGTTTTGGTGTCACATTCAGAGGCATAGGGAATTGTTGCTTCCTCCTGTGGACCACTTTAAAAGGATGATGTCTCCGCTTCCCTTAACAGGAGCAGATGGGGTGCTTTAAAAATGGCTAAGGAGTTGAAAGTTGGCAAAAGTCATTACCACATTTTCTTAGTGAGAAGATCGGTGCACTCAAGCACTAGGTTCTAGTTTCTCAAGGTTAATCTGTTTTTCATCATAAGAATGAAATAAAAATTGATGTGAATCCTGGGGAAGTGCTGCCCTCGTGCAGTATGGACCTGATGTGATTGCTCAGCTTTGTTGTCAACTTGATACACCTGGGAGGATGGAACAGCGGTTGTGAACTGCCCCTGTCAAATGGGGCTGTGGGCATGGCTGTGGGGCGTTGTTTGGGTGCTAATTGGTGGAGAGGAGCCCAGCACATTGTGGCCAGTGACCACCTAGGTAGGTGGTCGTAGGTTGTATAAGGAAGCTGGCAGAAGCAAGGAACAATTCAGTAAGCATCATTCCTCCATGGATTCTGCCTTAGTTCCTGCCTCCAGGTTCCATCTCCAATTTCCCTCAAGAGAAATTTGTGATCTGGGACACAGGCAAGACAAACCTTTTCCTTCCCACCTTGGTCTTGGTCAGTGTTTTATCGCAGCAGCAGAAAGACAGACTAGAACTGCCAGCCTGTACATGGGAGGCCAGGGCTTTCCCCAGTGTCCCCATTGGAGTTGCCATGGCAACACTGAGGGCGCTCCCTAGTCTCCAGGGAATTTGAGTTTTGTGTCTAGCTTTCTTCTTCTGTTTGTTCATTCTGTGTTGGTTTGATTTTTTTTTTTTTAAGAGATCTTCATTTCTATTTTGACCTAAAATGTAGAAGGCCCGCAAGGTACGCACGTGTTCTGGGCAGGATCTAGAGCTGGAGCAAGCGTATCCTGTCCCTTCCCTGAGTTTGCAGAAGTTAGACCTGATCACAGCTACACAGACCAGTACTAATTGACCTTCATCAATAAATGGTACTGAATACTGTCTTAATCTTCACAAACGATTCATCTACTGAGACACACACAGGTTGATGGC